AGACGTTCGGCTGAAGCCCTATGTTCCTCTAGGAATTAAAGGAAATAATAATTATTATACTCTTAAGTTCCGAGTGGAACATATGGCTTCAGCGGAACATCTCCATTGCGTCCTTTTCTCTGTAATTCTCTTCAACTGACTCCACGATCGTTCGTAAGCTCTCATCGCCTTTTCACACGCAGTCCCCTGCATACCACTCTTGAGACACACATCCAATTCGTCAGTTCGCATTGGACTTTTCCACTATAGCGACGGCCTGACGAGTGATGTCACTCAACGGTGGTCTCCTCACTGTCCACCCGATCCATCTGCATTTTCTTTTTTGGATGTGTTTCCACTGAGGAATGGGTGATTGTTCGTTTGTTTGTTACACTTTCTGACAGGTCATCTGATCTTCAGTATGCAGTCAGTGAAGGTGGCTGCTCTTCGTCCCCTGTACATTTCAAGTCTATCAACCATGAAGAAGCATTGAATGACTTAATATGTGTTGAAAATTCGAATCTTGTTTCTTGTTGTTGTTGTTGTTTGCCAGAGATAGATTTCCACACTGATTAACAGATTAACAATATGATGATCTGTCTTGCCTTTCCGATACTGGCTGACTTTGACATTTTCATCCGTGTCGTCTTTAGTTTTTGAATGATGCTGCTTAGATAAGCGAAAGGAGTGAATTTCTTTAAATTTCTCCTGGTGATAATTATTGGTGCTGGTTATTGTTGGTTGGTTGGTTGGTTGTCTTCATCACCTCTGTATTGTCTAGTGTTCATTTGAAGTCTTGTTGTCTTCACCACCTACCTCTTCTTCCAATTTGCTTGTTTTTCACCTGTAGACTTTCGAGTTCGTATGACACTAGACACAAATCATCCACAAAATCCAGTTTTCCTAGAGTCTTCTTGTCTCTCTCCAAAGTATTCCTGTCTCCCCGCTGCCATATGCTCCAATCCATCACAATCAGGAATATCACCATCGGTGACAGTAGGCAAACAGTCTTGTCTTACTCCTGTTTTTACTTTCGTTGTGAATGTTTTGACATGTATCATCATCATATAGCTGGCTGTTGAACGCAGCTGACAAATGTGTATATACGAAGTACAGATTTGCCCCTTATACAGAATCCTCAGGTAAAAACAATATTATCTGAAATAATAGAGATTTTTAGTTCAATTGGGAAGATGATTTTGATGTAACTGCATTCCCTGAGCTTTCCTTCATTGTCCTTTTACGAAAATAAAGATTTTCGGTAGAGAGACACGGGAGCAGTTGTATCATTCACATGGAGAATTCAAATAATTTCTGTTGGACACTAACTAGTGTAACTAAAGTATTTTGTATCTAGTCCTTTTTTGTGCAGACTGAATTCTGTCCGTCAAGTTTGCAATGTGGCCAATCGTGCCACTAGGTGTCTATCCATCACGGTGCATTTTGAATTGTTGATATTAAGCGGTTGGAGACAATCGGCAGGAAGCCTTCAACCTAGATTTCGTACTTATTGGTACTCGTTAGCAAGGTGTATCTGCAGCTTTGAAAGAATTTATGTCTCTTCTGACATACGAACCTGAGTCATTTTGATGTGGTTGTGTTCTCTGAGCCAGCTGGATGGTTAACTTGCGAAGCTTTCATCGCCCTACTAGGCGACATCTTCAGCTCATACTTCAATTCGTTGAAGTGAGCTTTTAGATTTCTCCACGAGTTTATTAATCATCTCTCCTGGTCGGTGACCTTGGACGTGATTGGTTGTTTTCGTGTGTTTTCACACCTTCTAGGCTACTTGTATTGGAACTGATTGTTTCCTTGACTTGAACTTGAACAATCAGTTCCAATACAAGTAGCCTAGAAGGTGTGAAAACACACGAAAACAACCAATCACGTCCAAGGTCACCGAACAGGAGAGATGATTAATAAACTCGTGGAGAAATCTAAAAGCTCACTTCAACGAATCGAAGTATGAGCTGAAGATGTCGCCTTATAGGGCGATGAAAGCTTCGCAAGTTAACCATCCAGTTGGCTCAGAGAACACAACCACATCAAAATCATCCACCTCAGCTACAAATCTTCTCCATCATATCTGAACCTGGATCACCCACTGATGCATTTTGAGACGTTCCTACTGATTTGTTTGTGGTGGTCACATCGCACAGGTGACTGATAGAATTCATTCTACACCAGTATCAAGGACTGGACATATGACATTAATTACTATCTAGTACGCAATCAAACTATCTAATACAGTCAGTCCTACAGGAGGCTAATCACGAACCCGGATAGCTCAGTATTAACGTCTCTGACTGCAGCACTGGGTGACGTGGGTTTGAATCTCAAAAGGGAAATGAGTTCCTTCAAGTTTTTAAATACATCTTGATGACAGGTGTGTTACGACTTCATGTGGAATACATCCAAAAATTCAAATAAACTCACTTCACCATATTGAAGTTGACACTGCAGTGATGTTGGAAGCATATAAGCAGTATGTTAAGTAAGTCAAGATAGAGTTTAGAGTTATTTTTAATTTTGTCAAGAAAATGTAGTGTTGTAAGTAATAAATAATTAGAAATAAATAAGTGAGGGTTGAGTGTATAAGTGCTTCAAAGAAGAGGCTGTCATTCACGCACACGCACACACTCGGGGATGCAGTATCACTACTCACGGGTGATGATGTTTCGAGCACAGTTTATTGCTTAAAATCATATCGTTTTCACATGACGATTATCATCACATCATATCGAGTTATTAACACTGAATCATTGCATGTTTTGTTTTTATCAACGAAGTAAAATTACTCTATAAATGGAATTAAATACTTTACCATAACATATAAATATATATAGTGCTCGAATTCTATTTTCATATATAACTATATATTAAGGCTGTCACTCAGGCACATAGAAATGCACTAAAATGATCTTGTTAACATAAACTTGTCATCTTAATTGATTGACATGTGTTATGTGCAAAAAATGTGCACGTTTTCTATATTATTTTATTTTATTTTTAGGCTTCTCTGGCCTCAATTGACTGTAGACAGCCTACACAGGATTAGTGGAATAAAAAATATACATCTTTCTCTTTCCAATTTTACTTAGAAGAATTTAGAAGGTATAAAGACAATAATGAGTGAGTTGTGCTAGAAATAATCTACTACTACGACTGTGAGACGAAAAGAAAGTAGTTATTTGCTATAAGTTTGGAAGAAACTATGGCTATTCTCAGTTTTTTTGTATCTATTCAGTCAAAGGGCTTTAAGCCTCAACTTTGATGTTTCATTTGCAATAGTTTTAGTTTTTACGGGGTGGAGCCGGTAGCCTCACGCCTACCCCCTGCGCTTCCATCTTTACCGGGCTAAGCGAGGTTAAGGAGGTCGTCTCGAGCCAGGGTTCGAACCTCAGACTGCGTGAAATGGGGTTGGTGAGTATTTTATTGCTACACCACCGATGCACTATTCTCAATCCATCGTAATAGTAATTAGTTTGCTTATAACATAATAATATATTCTATTTGCTTGTCTTCTTACTATCCACTAATCCCGTAACGACAGAAGACAAGGACCAGGCAACAGATCGTTCATTGAGGAAATCAAGAGGTGTTTACAGAGATTTTTATCTACATTACTATTCGTTATCATTAGCACAGAAGCAATGTCTTCTGATTGTTTTTTTTCCTGCTGAAGGTTATTCTGTCATCTCTTTGTTGCCGTTTCTCAGACAGTCCGGTGATATATTTGTGAGTCGTATCTGCCCACGCTAAGTCTGCTGTGATTGGTTGTCGAGTTCCTCAAGGTTAGGCTTTGTTATTGTTTTTTCTCATGACTCCGATTTCGGACGTAAACATTGACGTAAATTGGTGTCTACCAATTTTGGCTTGCAGACAGCTCCCGCCACAACCTTAGCTCACTTTTTATCATTCCAAGTGGAATATTGAACCCCAAGCTTGGAAGTTTCAGCAGTGGTGTTTATGTTATTTTGGTATGGGATTGTTGACTCCACGCCCAGTCTTTTCTTTTTTTCTCGAAGCCTGCTGTTGGCTAGTAAACTAGGTAATGAGGTCTATGACTGCGTCATCTGGGGAAAACGAGCCGTGGACCACTTGCGTGGATGGAGGGCATTGTACCATTGAACTACTGATATACTTCTTAACTCACCTAATTGGTTTCCAAGTCTTTTCTCAGTGCTGTCTTGTATATTGATTACGTAGTCTTTTTTTCTGTATAGGCTGGTTAACTAGCATTTTCACGGTTAAACCCTCTTTATATAAACACTTACTAAATCTTCTTCTTGTAAGCTTATGATAAATAACTAGCTATTTAGGCGTCAGTTTTAGTGTTTATGCCTTCAGATGGGATATTCAATGTCGTTTCCTTAAACTACAGTCTTCATGTTCGCTCTTATTGCATTGATGCTGTGTATATGTGGTGAGAGCAGGCTGCTAGCCAATTGGTAGACATTAATCTACGTCAATGTCTAGGTCACTTATACTGACCGTGAGAAAATATGAACAAGGCTGATTCAACAACTAACCACAGCAGACTTAACGTGGGCAAATATGATTCACAGATAGATGGCTCCACTTTCCGAGGTTACCCGAAACAACCAATCAGAACACTGTGTTTGTCTGCTTGAATAAGCTATAATAATGTACATGAAATATATATAAATACGTGTCGATTTCCATAATAAAACGACCTGTTGCCTGGCCCTTATATTCTGTTGTTACATATATTGTATTTTGCGTCGATGGTTCAGTGGTGTAATGCTCGTCAACTACCCACCTATTTTGGGGTTCGATTCCCGACTGGCGACTCACTCCTTCTGATTGTGTGTATGTTGAGCAGAAGAAAGCACAGAACTCAAGATTATTATCGAGTTGTCTTTTTTTTAATCTTAATTTCTCGTGATAATCACTTTCTTTCAACACATTTTCCTTTGTGGCATTTTATCTTTTCAAAACTCACCCTGTCATATTTCAATTCCCCCTGCCCCCCCCCCGCTTTTTTTTCCTAATTTTAGATGATCATCGGTATTCATTTATTGAAGATTTGACAAGAAATACAAGTAATAATTCGAAAAGTGATCATCTTCATCACCATAATAATAATAATAACAATAGTGTTGATATCCATTGTCAACAATCACAGAATCCATCATCTTATCAATTAATGATTTCTGAAGCAATGAAATTAAAATGCCAATGGGGAAAATTTCTATCTAAAGTTCATGGCATACATCATCAATCCAATCAATATGAAATATGGGAGAAACAGTTATGCCTATTACAAATACGTATGCATGAATTAAGTCGACTTACACGTGAAATTGGATTATCAATGTATATCAACAAAGATGGTTGTCATCATGACAATGATGATGATGATGGCAGTGACAAGACTGTAGATGATGCGAACAATTATAACACTTCTAAGTTATTGAATAATGCAAAACAAATGGATCGAATCAGTTGTGGTTTTAAAGTGAGTTGTGCTCAATTATTACTTTTAATCTGTATAATATGTGTAGCATAGAAGTTGAATTCTTGATTGGATTTAATGGATCATTAAAAATAAGTCGTGATCAGTGGGAGCGGGTGTTGTGAAGATGCTGGCTAGCGGTGGCGCTAAAAATCGCAAATTGATTCACAGAAGTTTGAATTTATAGGCCACTGGATACCATCTTAGTGACTGAATGGTCAACAAGCTCACCTCAACGAGCCTTGTAACGACAGAAGACAAAGGCCAGGCGACAGATCGTTTATTGAGAAAATCAACTGATATTTATTGATTTTTATGTACATTATTATTCATAATTATGAATAGAGAAACAGCGTCTTTTGATTGGTTGTTTTTTCGCCAAAGGTTTATTCTGTACTGCTTGTGAGCGTTTCTTAGGAAGTTAAGTCTTATATCTGAGAATCGTATTTGCCTACGTTATGTCTGCTACGATTTGTTGGTGAGTTCCTGAAGGTTAGGCTTTGTTATTGATTTTTTTTCTCATGACCATGATTCGGGACGTAAACACTGACGTAAATTGTTGTTTAGAATTTCGGCTTACCACCAACTCTCATCACAACCTGAAGGTCTTAGGTCCCATCGCTATCTGTGGGGTCATGAATGAGTAGTGGTGAAAACGAAAGAGTTCCAAACTAGGGTGAAACAGCTATCCAGTACTCGTGGCTAGGGCTAAATGGTTCTCTCATTGATATCAAACACTTCCGTGATCAAGCGCTTGTGAAACCAACCAAATTCCTACAAACGAAGACAGAGACTTGGCGCGTGTGTCAAGAAAGGCAGGCTGCAGATTTTCATCAACAACAACTGCCTTCTCTGGCTCCATACTAAAGAATAGACGACCAGTCAGAAACGATAAGCAACCGGCGGGGAATCTGGAAACGAATCAACAGGGAATCTATTGCCTAGAAAATATTCCTACGAAAATAGGAACAGATCAGGAAGATACTGAGAAGGTTGTTGAGTAGGACGTCCAATGCGAAATGACGAGATGGGTATTTGTCCCAAGGGTGGTATGGAATAAATCGTGTGAGAAGAAGATAACAGCTTATGGGCAATCATCTAGCCAGCTGAAAACAGGACTGAAGAGAATAAGAAGAAATGGAATGGAAGCCGTTTATTCCACTGGGAACCTTGATTGAATAATAAAAATGACACCTTTCAAATATTCGTTTTTTGTAGGGATTTTTCTTGTTTGATTGGTTGAAGGATTTCATCATGAACTGATATCAGTTAGAGAACCATTGGAAAACCCACCAGGGAGTACTGGACAGCTGTTTCGTCAGAATAGTTTGGGACTGTTCATCAGCACGCACCCACCCCGCCAGGGCTCCAACCCAGGAACTTCTGGTTACGAGGAGAGCTCATAGACCACTAAGCCACCACAGGGACCCGATCCAATGGCCAGTCAGTCCATAAATTCTAACTTGTGCCTATTCATGACATAGCGTGACCACTTCGCAATGTCTTCTTTGATGAGTTAGTTACTACCTCACCTTCAACCTGCTGGGTACTACTGAAGACTTTCAAGCACTGGGATGAAATAGCTCTCCAGTACTCCCTGGTGGGTTTTCCAATGATTCTCTGCATAAACTGATGTCAGCTCATGTTGAAATCCTTCAATCAATAACATCTTTGCTGAAAGACTTGAAGGCAATGTCAAGAGAAACTGTCATTCATTGATTTGAACATTCTTATGTTGATCTTCATGATCAAGAATGATGATGAATTCTATAGTATCATAAATGACATAAAAGGACATTACCAAGCCTAGTGATGATGAAATATATATATATATATATATATATATATATTCACGATCAAGTCCTAAAGTTTGATTGATGAGTATTCTTTTTTTCTGATCTCATTTTATTTTATTTTTTTATTTGTTTATTTAATAATGATAATGATTTACTTTATTCTAAAAACAGTACTTGTGATACAGAATGGAATTTTCAGCATTGATCTCAATATTGCATCTAATTTCCTCAAATTATAAATAAAATTAATCACACAGAAAATCTTCCACATTTACAAAATAGGGCTAATGTCAGAAACATGCAAAATATAAAATGGAAATAATAATAATAATGATAACAGCTAAGGTAATAATAATAAGAATACAAGTGAAAAATTCCGTAGGCTCGTTTCACACAGTATTGTCAATGCGGTATATATATATATAATATATAATTTTCTCTTTACACGATACATGGTGAGGGGAAAAACAAAGATTACAGCAGTCATAGAGATAAGTTGGTGTTTGCAATTATTAAAGTAAAACAAAGAAGCAACAGGACCATGAATATAATAGAAATAATAAAAGTAAAACTTGAAGGTATATAAGGATGGATGGACGGAAATTGTTTATTTACTAGATGAAAAAAGGTTAGTTAATTGTTGCCTGACACTATTTTCATCACATAAAATACGTGACAAGTATGGTATCATAGAATTTTTATACTTAGACGTGAGAATTCACTTCTTGCTCTACCTGGGAAGATGCAAGGTGAAAGCTGAGGGTAAAGTGGATGCTTCAAGTCAGACAAAATCCCTTTAGCAAATTTGTTGCACGAAGTCAAATGCCTATCGACAGCGATGTTAACTATGTGGTCCACTGGGACACCACTCACCCTACTGACAGTTTTCAGCATTCTACGAATTGTGACATATTCCTTTTTAAGCAAAACAGGAAAGAATAAGGGTGAACAATAAAGAAGAATAGGTAAGATGCAAGAGTTTATGAACTAACTGTAAGAGGAGGGGTTGAGTTATACCCGAGTGCCTTCCTTAACTTCTTAATGTAAAATGTGAGGCGGAATATTTTACTGGAGATCGCTAAGACATGGGAAGACCAGGAGAGATCAGAAGAGAGAATAAATCCAAGTTACTTAATTTCTGATTTGATTTTAATCTGTGAAACACAGAACAAAATGAAATAAATAAAAAAAAGAAATGGCAAAATTTAACTTCACTCAACAACAACAAAAATAATGATAACTGCTCATCTGTGTGAGTATTGTACATTGAATGCATGCATATATGCGTGTTTGTATGTATCTTTAGTGATTTATTATGTATAAAAGTTTAATAAATCAAAATAAGCACATTGAATATATATCTGTGTATAAGTGTTTACCTTCAGATAGTGGCCTTCTTTTTTGGTGTCTTCGCCTTCACCTCTATGATTTATAGATGGTGTTTATGGCGCTAGTTTTTACTCAATAGATTAAATAAACTCAAATTTAAACAAATAATTAATTCAAGTTGTCGAACAATAAGCATTCCAATAGACTGGGTTTAGTGTACATAGAATATTGTTTTTGATACTGTCTTCTTCATTAGGTTTTTCAGTTATATATATGATCATAATAGCTAAAGAATTATTCAGGTATTGGTTTCTAGGGATTTGATTCGATTGGTTACAGGATTTCATTATGAGGTGACATTGGTTAGAGAACCTTTCGAAAACCTGTGAGTACTGAAGAGTCCCAGGCACTGGGACGAAACAGCCCCTTGAGTACTCCATGGTGGGTTTTCCAATGGTTCTCTAACTGATGCAAGCTCATGATGAAGTCCTGTAACCAATCAAATCAAATCCCTACAAACCAACACTTGAATATCAATGAGATGCTGACTTGCAATGGCCCCTATTCAGGTAGATTCTAATGGGAAGTCATGACCAGTAGGGTGCGGCAGGTCAGGTGTGAGGACAAATACTCACCACCCGATGACATTGGCTAGTGATCGTGCTATGTCGTCAATTGGCGGAAGTTGGAGTTCATGGACTGGCTGGCCGTTGGATCAGGTCTCAGGGGCTTAATGGTCTGTGAGCTAGCTCAACTTGTAACCAGAAGGTATTGGGTTGGAACCCTGGCGATGGGTGCGTGCTGATGAAGAGTCCCAAACTATTCTGACGAAACAGGTGTCCAGTACTCCCTGGTGGGTTTTCCAATAGTTCTCTAACTGATATCAGCTCATGATGAAATCCTGCAACTAATAAAGAATTTCATCATGAGCTGACATTAATTAGGGAACCATCGGAAAACCTTGGAGTACTAGACAGCTGCTTCGTCCTAGTTTGGGACTCTTCAGATGTACGCACCCACCGACAAGGTTCGAACCCAGGACCTTCTGGTTACAAGGCGAGCTCGTATACCAATAAACCATTGGGACCCGATCCAATGGCCTACGAATTCTAACTCCTACCAGTTCACAACATAGCGCATAGTTAGAATTCATGGGCCATTGGATCGGGTCCCGGTGGCTTAATGGTATACGAGGTCGCCTTGTAACAAGAAAGTCCTAGGTTCGAATCACGATGGGTGCGTACTTCTGAAGAGTCCCAAACTAGGACGAAACAGCTGTCCAGTACTCCCAGGTTTTCCAATGGTTCTCTAACTAATGTCAGATCATGATGAAATCCTGAAACCAATCAAATCCCTACAAACCAACACTTGAATAATAAATTATTATTATTATTCAGAACATTAATGTTTGATAAACTATTGAATCTGTTCATCTGAATAGATGACAGTCCAGAAAATATCTCTTATTGATAATATACATAACAATGCAATATTAAACTGTATACAAGATAAATTAAGCAAAGTAATACAGAATTTTGGTGAATTTATAGGTTTTACGGAAATCCAGGTTAGCAATAGTGACTGAACCTGTTTCTTTTACACACACACACACGTAGAGCTCATACTGTTTCAAGAGAATTGCGATGACCCCTGATGTTTGCAGTGTTCAATATCTAGAGGCTTTATTCGATATTTGATAGATTATAGAAAAAGACTTCTGGCATTTTGACATGTTTGGACTAGGTGATCTAATTTATAGAACTTTTAACAGTTTTTTTTAACTGCACTTTTATATTTAGCCAAAATACTGGTAGGTGATGTCCTCGAGTAGGAGAAATTAAGCTCCTAGAATAACAAACGGTCAATATAAGTAACTCCAAGGGAGTAGTTGAATTTACAGATGCAAATAACAGGTGGTTGGACCATAGGTTGATACTTCGTCTTTCACTTGAGGAATCACAACCAGTTGTGTGGAATTAATTCACAGGGGGAATTAAAGACATTAACACCAAAGATAAAAGCAGGTTATCCACTGTGGATGCAATATCCACAAAACAACTGGAGCTTTGTGTGTGTGCAAAATAAGCAGAACAGGTCCAGCTAACCACTCTCGCTAACCTGGCCAACTGTAGAACGTATAAAAAATTCATAAATTCTCTGTTATTATCCTTCTTAATTTGTCTGATATTTAGTTTATTATTACATGTATATTGTGGTGAGAGCAGGCTGCTAGCTAATTGGTAGACATTAATCTACGTCAATGTCTAGGTCACTAATATTGGCCGTGAGAAAATATGAACAAGGCTGATTCAACAACTAATCACAGCAGACTTAACGTGGGCACATAAGATTCTCAGATATATGGCGTAACTTTCCGAGAAACCAGAAACAACCAATCAGAACACTGTGTCTGTCTGCTTGAATAAGCCATAATAATGTACATGAAATATATATAAATACGTGCTGATTTCCGCAATAAAACCATCTGTTGCCTAGCCCTTGTCTTCTGTTGTTACAATATATCTTTAAATATTCCCATTTATAATATTAGATCAAGACATATAAGCGAACAATATTGTTTTGAGTTAGATCTTCTTCAAGATTTACTCTAATTTACATATGTTTATATATAAAAATTTGTAACCAATGATGGTGATTTTGTGGATCAAATAACAATAATAATAATAATGTGGTAAATGTTATATATATATATATATATATATATCATTGGTTAAAAATTTTTATATATAAACCTATGTAAATTAGAGTAAAGCCTGAAGAAGATCTAATTGAAAACATTTATATATGTCCAAACCTCAAGTTCACTTTCACCGGTTTGAAAAAATTTGGGCATTGGGTATATGATATTCATTATATAATAAAGTTTTTTTTTGTATTTCCCAATGAATGAAAAACAAAACGATACTGTCGTTTTTACTGACGTTTCACCATTTAATGCTAATAGCTTTATCAAAGTATTATTAAACTAGAATTTACAAAATCTCAGCATATATATAACAAAGAGTTAAGGGGTGAGAAAATAGACTTAGGTCAAGCTAAAGCGACATATTGAAAGTCAAAATAACAATGAACCAATAGCAAAGGTAATAGTACGTCTGGCATGGTATCAAAACAAAGTTTACTAACTTGATCACCGTTCGTCAGTATGGGGTCATTATTCGTTGTCAAACTGGCCAGTTGGTAAAGATAATAAAACCAAGTGTAGATTGTTGTATTTGATAAGTGTGTAAAATTATAAACCAGCATGTGTTTATATAATGATATTGCTTATCACATTCATGTTGATTTTGTCACTTCATGGGGGAGGGAGGTGCTGTAAACAGGTCACATTCTGTTTTAGTTCAAAATTCCTTTACAGACAATTTAGATTCCACTTGATATGAAGTGCTTCTGATGATACTAGACGTTCTTTGTGATTTGTGAAATGCTTTTCCTGGATTATTTCAATATTGTCAAAATCAATTTTGTGGCCTGATTCTATAGCGTGTAGACAAGCTGTGTCTGACCGATGATTTTTCAAGCTTTTCTGGTTCAACTGGATTTCTCAGAGGTTGAATCGATGCTCTACGGTGTTCATTTCTTCTGCTTCCCTTAATTTCTGGCGATGTTTGTCCTATATATGTCGCATCACATTCCAAGCATGCACTTTATTTTATAGACACAATCAGATGGAGAATCTTTAGGGATTTGATCTTTTATATGGACAAGGTTGATTTGTAGTGTGCGTGTCTGATGTTTCGAAGAAATCTCTGTTGTTGAGCTTATCGAGTACTCTTCTGATATTGTCTGACGGCTCTGCTGTATATGGAATGACAACTGTTGAGACTCATGTTTTCGGAATACGTTTCGTCCATTTATTTAATGTCAGTGATGATTTTGTTGATGAAGTTCCTTGGGTAGTTGTTTTGCTTGAAAGTTTCAGTAATGCTTGATATTTCTTCTTCTTCTTTTTCTTTGTCATCCGTTATCAGAGAGTGTGCTCGTCTAAGAAGACTTGAAACAACTGATACCATTACGCTGATGGGATGTGATGATCCGAAGTCTACTTTCTCAGCTCTTAACTCTTTGTTATATTTTGTAAATTCTGGTTTAATAATACTTTGATAAAGCTACTAGTGGTATTAAACAGCGAAACGTCAGTAAAAGCAACATCCTTTTGTTTTGTTTTTCATTCATTGGGAAATACAAAAACCTTTATTATAATGGATATATGAACTCGAGTCGTTCGACTCGAGTTTTGTCCAAGAGGGTGCAAGAACACTATCCTGCATGGCTACGAAAAGGTGGAAGTGGAGCAATAAGAAGCGCGATCATTGAACATCTGGTCGATAATGATCATCCTATCTCCATAGTCATTTACAAGGCAAAGAGTAATTTACCCAAATCCCTACGTACCCGACTCATCTGTATTGCTGAAGCCATCTTTGGCTATCGAAACAGAACAGCCAGATCTCTGTGTACAGAAAAAAGTTCGTTCAACCCCTCCAACTTTCATGGTCATAATCCCTCTATGCTAAAGCATGGTAATTCCCAATCATATTTTAGCTCCACCAATTTTTCATTTTTCATTTTGTCTATTCAATTTGTATACTCTTCCTTATTACGTCAATTGTTATTATTTCTACTCTCACTTTGGACTGTCTCCGGTATTATTTCACTTGTTCCACTTCTCAGTCTAAATCAATTCTTCTTTGCAACGTTAAATTCTATGCTAGCATTAATGTTCAATAACCTGAAGGACAAGATCCGGTTGTTGACCAACTCTATGTGTGTTATCAAATTTCACATAATATTACGTAATGTTTTTATGTTATTCGATTTGTCTACTAATCTTATAATTGCACATCCTTTTTCAAGTTCTGTCCATCCTATGAATTATTCTATATATGACATTAATTTGCTTTGCCACTTGACATTTAACTATGATTACAATCACAAACATTTTAGTTTTTTTAATTGCATTTCATACTACTATTATTTTATGCATTCACACCTACAATTCAATTCCCTCACCGGATATAACTTCTTAAAAAGAACCATACATATATACGACTGTACAGCTTGATAATAAATTCGTTGTTGAAAAGAGTCTCTTCGCTGAATCACTTGTTTTGATTTTCTAAATGTGTTATAATGGCAATTTTCCATGAGCATATTTTAATCTCTCTTTTTATCGTCTTTATTTTTTTTCTTTTTTTACTTTCTCAGCGATGCTTTTCAGAGTTGGACAGTCTGAGTTATGCACTGAATGAGATACAAAGTGAATTAACTGAGAAGTGTCGAACATCAGTGAACAGTAATAATAATAATAACAATAATAATACCAATGACAACACTCGTAATAACTCAAGTATGCTGTCTAGTTCAATGATAAATTTGGATTCCCAACTACTCCATGAAATTGAGCATCTTTCAAGCCAATTGGCTGTCAATAGATCAATGTAAGTAGTGTAATGTTTGTTTTTTTTTGTTTTTAAAAAATATGTTTTTCTGTGAATCCCACTTAAACACTTCTGGTTTTCGTGTTGTTGCTGTAGCTCACTAATTGAAATGTGCGTCGGTGGCACAATGGTTAGGACTCCCGCCGACCATGCACATGGTCCGCGAGGTTCGATCCCTTGCCGACGCACATCTGATATCTATGGTTGGCCTGCTGAATTTGAGCTACCGATATCACATGCTGAAAATGCCATGCCTGTACCAAAAATACAGTGTGGAATCAAGCTGTAAATCAAAATAAATACTTTTTCTTCTGCATTGCCCTGTCTTGCATAATAGGCAGTTAACTAATGATTATCATATCTAATGATATGAAATTTCATGTCTGTACTGACTTTATCCTCTTCAAGACAACAAATAAAAATAATACTAGTAGTAGTAATAATAATAATGTCGGGTAGTTATTTTGTGAATGGTCACTGGCAATGAGATCCAAGATGCCTATTTCGTTCTATTGGAGACTTGTCCGGCCTGTAAGCGACAGTGTTCCCGGTGAGCCACAAACCAGACACCCATCGTTACTTGGACAATTGAACCACGAGAGCCAATCCATGTGCGAGTAGGATGTGAAATGCGCATCCTAGATTCCTCCTCTGCTGCTAATCCCTTTTCGACCATATGGCATTATGTTTTCCACCTCAAGAAATCGTCAAATAGAAACTGAACATCGTTTGTCTAACTAGCATAATTAGTTAACCAATCAATCAATCATTCGGAAATACAAAAGTAGCCTAGAGAAATGTTGGATTGTGTTGTAGATAAACTTGTATACAGACAAGTCAATGGAATACCACCATATTCAGTGATTTATATAAATGTTAATTAGTTAAGACTCTGAGTGAGAGACAATGGTGCCTATTATCATCAATGATATTCCTAATTGTGGTGAACTGACTGGATTATGCGTCAGACAGTGGGAAACGAGAAGACAGGGATATCCTGGACCGACATGTAGAACCTAGAAGACCTGGATTTCGCGCGTGGATGATTTATGCTTGATGTCATACAAAATCGAAGAATTACAAGTAAAAACCGACAAACTGGTTGAAGAAGCAGCCGGTGAAGACAGGACTCCAGGTGAACATAGACAAGACGGAGGTAATGAAAATAACCAACGAACAGCAGCAACATACAGTGCCAATCACCATCAACGAGAGGGACTTGAAAGAGGTTACTTCTTTCACTTATCTAGCATTGAACATTGTCTCAACTACAGGCAGTCGGAACGGACGAAGATGTCGAATCGAGAATCGGGAAGGCGAGAAACACATTCATCAACCTGAAACAACCAATCTGGAAATCTTCGTCACTCAGCCAACATCAACAACAAAATTCAGTCGGATTTTCAATACAAACGTCAAGTCAGTCAGTTCTTCTATGTGGATCAGAAACCTGGAGGGCGGGTCACAAAGAATATTTCCGACAGGCTATTGCAGATCAGACCTTCATGAACAACTGTCTTCGCTGGCTCTATACTGAAGATCAGATGGCCGGGCCGGAAAGAATTACCAACAAGAAACTATGGGCACAAACAAACAAAACAAGAACCAATCGTTCAACAAATACGCTCGTTTAGGTTTGCAGATAGACGTTGCTGTCTGGTGAGTGCCAACAGGCACTAAATCTGGGTTCAATGCTTCCTGATGATTGCTTGCAACTACATAATAACAACAGTACTACCAACTGCAGGAGGAAAACAAGCTTATAAATCAATATTACAGTCTTAATACATGATTTGTATTACCTCAAATAGCACTATTTTGGTTAACAGAACTGTGTTGTTTTACACAGAGTGTTGACTTACTCAAGTGCCCTGATTATACACTTTCAATCTGCAAGATACTGCAGTTTAAAAATTATTGATTTCCAGGGAGTTCATTGAGAATTTCAAGTCAGGACAGGAATTGACATGAGTTAGAGAACCATTGAAGTCCAGGAGTACCGGGCAGCTGATTGGTTTTTATTATTATTGTTATTACCCTAGATTCTGCGTGGGACGTAGGGTCTCAACAGAACATCTCCATTTTACCCTGTCATCTACAGTCTTCCCGAACTGGCTCCACGACTGCTCATAATCTATCGTCTCCCCCACCCCCACCCGACCTCACACGATATTCTTCACGTCAACTTCAGACACCCGACTCGCCGTTTTTCATTTGGATTTCACTTGAACGATGGCTTGATGAGCGGTGTCAGTCACTCAATGGTGACACTCCTGAGTGTGTGTCCGATTTACCTGTATTCCCTTCAGAATATTTATTGAGCGATATTTTCTTGGTTGGTTCATTCCCAGAGTTGTTTGTTGCTGATGCTTTCTGGCCAGTTAGCCATCCGATCTGCAGTATAAAGCCAGTTATATATAACTGTTATTGATTTGCTTTAGTTTGATGTTTCAGTTGCCACGATTAAATCCACTGGCTAATGAGTTATAACTTCCGTCAATGTATTCGCGATATGTATATATAGCGCCACTAGTGGCTAGTGCCATCAACGAGAGTTGTCCTCACATCTAGCTTTGTGTAACCCACTGGTGATGACTCCTCATTTCCGTCCCAGGGTCCTAAGTTTCATCCCTAGTATGTGTGTGTGAGTCATAGGCACACACTGTTAAAGAAGACTCCCAAACTAGGATAAAACAACTATCCACTAATCCCTAATTCCAAATGAATCACTGTCTCATAATAATAATAATAATATTTGTCTACCTACACACCTATATGGTGAACAAAAGCGCATGTGCTCAGTATATTTGAACGCATTGTCTAGCTGTAAGATTCCATCCATATTGTCTTCCAAGATATCTGTATTAACTACGTACATTTACGTACATTTCCATTTTCCGCAAATATGATTTTTCTTATTGTTCCATTAATTTCTATTTTATTTCATTACTGGTTGTGGTAGCATGCATGTCATCATCATATTATAAAAGCATCCCATACAGATATCTCTTTGTTCTGCTTGACTAACAGGTATTTAAGCGTTATGTTCAAGTTATTGTTCTGTTATTGTTGATGTTATTGTTGAGTTGAGTTGATTCTTTTCTTTATTATTAGTTTGTTGTTCTTGTTGTTAGTTTTATTTATTTTTACTTAATTTATTTTAATACACCCACCATGTTAATTATACAGGTAAGCTTTAACCAGACATAATGCTAACTTTATATATGGCTAAAAAGTCTAGTATCGTCTCCTGTCTGGCATATTAAGCCAGTAAGCTTAAACGGAATTATCCCAGTTATGTGGTGCACTCTATCAAGCAGCGCGAATTTCCACATATGATAGAGAAGATTTGTAGCTCAGGTGGATGATTTTGATGTGGTTGTGTTCCCTGAGCTAGTTGGATAGTTAATTTGCGAAGCTTTCATCGCCCCACCACTAGGCGACATCTTCGGCGGATACTTCAATTCGAATTGAAGTGAGCTTTTAGATTTCTCCACGAGGTCACTATTAATCATCTCTCCTGGTGACCTTCAACGTCGTGATTGGTTGTTTTTGTATGTTTTCACACCTTCTAGGCTACTTGTGTTGGAACTGATTGTTTCTTTGACTTGGACTTTGACCCTTTGTGTGTGTGAGGTCTCCCTCTTATCGGTTGATAAATTTTGTCTATTTCGATGTGTCTATTGATTGACGATTCCCTGGAATACCAGGTGGGCTTCTAAAAGTTCTCTAGTATTCTTGTTGTTTCCTCTATCTAATATTCGAACGTTGTCCCAGTTCATATATAAAGGATATCTCAGAAATCACTGCAAGGCTCGTCAAACCTTTAGGAATTGATGTGGTACACAAACTGACAAAATCACTTCACTCAGCTGGCTTTATGTCAACCAAAAGACTCAACAAAGGAAGAAGATAAAACCAACATCATCTACAAAATGAATTGTAACAACTGCGAAAAACACTACATTGGCCAAAGTGGACTTCTCCTTCGTTTTCGTATCCACGAACATAAGCTAGCCGTCAAAAGACATGACATCTACTCCCTCATATCACTACATACAGACAACCGCGGGCATCAATTCAACTGGGACAACGTTCAAATATTAGATAGAGGAAACAACAAGAATACTAGAGAACTTTTAGAAGCCCACCTGGTATTCCAGGGAATCGTCAATCAATAGACACATCGAAATAGACAAAATTTATCAACCGATAAGAGGGAGACCTCACACACACAAAGGGTCAAAGTCCAAGTCAAAGAAACAATCAGTTCCATTACACGTAGCCGCCTAGAAGGTGTGAAAACATACAAAAACAACCAATCACGACGTTGAAGGTCACCAGGAGAGATGATTAATAGTGACCTCGTGGAGAAATCTAAAATCTCACTTCAACGAATTGAAGTATTCGCTGAAGATGTCGCCTAGTGGTGGGGCGATGAAAGCTTCGCAAATTAACTATCCAGCTAGCTCAGGGAACACAACCACATCGAAAGTGGGGATCTCTTTCCATTCCTTTACATTTCCAGTTGGGACATAAGACTTCAAATCTGTGCTGGGAAGTTTCAGTTGCACAAGGTGTTTAATTTCTTAAAAGATGAGATTGCTAGCCTCATGGTCAATATCCCGTCTTTACTAATCTAGAATATTCTATGTATATAAACATCAAATATAGGTATAATTGTAGAGCCAGAAGAGGAATTCATCGAAAAAGGATATTCTTTGCTCAATTATTTTGTGTTTTTATAGATGTCTGAATGAATATTTTTGCTATACGTAGTCTACACATCCACAGAAATTTAAACCATAAATAGATATTAAATAGCTGATTGACGGTATGACTTTGAAGATCCTCCAAAAATAAATAAATCTAAAAGTGTCCAGCCACGTTATCTAACTGCTTTCAGAGGAGAACTTTACACAGATGTACAACAGTTCAAGCTGCCACTCTCCATATCCGTGTAACACACAAAGAAAGAGAAGAGATTCAAAAGAGAGAGAGGGAGGGAGATAATAATATATTTATTCCTATGTATCAGGAAGCACTGGACAACTATTTCACCTTTTCTGGGGACTCCTCAGGGATGCTCATCCATGACCCTACCACAGATCGTACATAGAACTTTCAGGTTATGAGACTAAGCATGTGTTGGGCTGGTGGAATTCAACATGGTCCCTGAATTCTAACTGTATTGACTCGTGATATATGCAGCACTGGCTTCACTTGTGCCTTCGATGAACGTCCACTTCACCTTGACATGGTGCACCCCACTGTCTTGATGACTGATGTTAATTCTTGACAAAAATCTAACAATTGAAATTAATCCGAAATCCACTCAAATCCTATAATCTGAATAATAATAATAAAAGCAATGAATTGTTTACAGGATTTCATCATGAGGTGACATCGGTTAGAGAACCATTGAGAAGGCTGTAGGGAGTATTGCAAAGCTGTTTCGTCCTAGTACTTAGGACTCTTCAGGAGGTCAGGTGTGAGGACAAATACTCGCCACTGTTGACATTAGCTAGTGGTCGTGCTATATCGTGAGTTGGCAGAAGCTGGAATTCATGGACTGGTTGGCCATTGGATCGGATCCCAGTAGTGACTTAACGGTCTACGAACTCGCCCACCTTGTAACCAGAAGGTCCTGGGTTTGAACCCTGGTGGTAGGCGTGTGCTGCTGAAGAGTATAAAACTACGCTGACGAAACAATTGTCCAGTACCTCCTGAAGTTTTTCCAACGGTTCTCTAACCGATGTCAGCTCATGCTGAAATCCTGCAACCAATCAAATCAAATCCCTACAAATCAATACTTGAAGCCCAGCCGACAACTGCTACCTTGCCGTAGTGGTTGGGCTTGAATACCGCAGTGATCCAACAAGTTAAACTGGCTAGGAGTCATGTTCCTGCAGGTCCTACCATGTCAGGAAGGTTGTTTGAATAGCGATTAGACTGAAAGCAGTTACCATGGGGTACATGACCTCCACAATCCAATCGGATCAAATGGCGTATGAACCCATATTGGTCACCAGCAACCATGGGAATGCAGCTCCTGACGCTGCTCTGCTGCCTTGCAGATTAGACTTCAAGTCAAAGGCTCGGGGGGGAGTGGTCCCTTAAGAAAACCACCTGCTTCGGTCTGGGTGCCCGGGCAGTATCTCAGCCCACACACAATAAATGAAATGAATTGTGTGGCGCATCTTTCTTGGTGCCATATTGTACCAAGTTTCTTTTTTCTATGTTTAAATAAAAATACTAAAATAATAATACTTGAATGATGAATTGAGTTGAAATCTGTTTTCAAAACTACCAACATGTCAAAATTGACTTTCTGTTTTTTCTCTGTATTTGTGTTCTTTGTATGTAGATTATATCATGTTATTTGTGTCGTATATATGATGTTTTCGAAAAAGTCTTTTATTTCGTAATCTTATTTTCTTTCCCTATATATACATATATATTTAGTCTACAAAGATTAATTCGGTTATTTGAGTCAAATTGTTCAAGTCATTCCACGCGCAAACATGATAGACAGCAAGAGAATGTCATGGAGGAACAATTGGATACTACTACTATTACTAATCCTACTGAAAGTATTCTTCAGTGTTTACAAAATGAAACCAGTGAACCCAATACAAATGAGGTAAAGTGCTTAATTAAGATTATGACAGTGATTTGTTTGTTTTCAGTCAAAATAGTGTTTACAAGTGCTGGTTTGCAGTGCAGTGATCTGATTGATTACCGGTTTTAAATCATGAGTTGACAGCCAGTTAGAGAAAACCATTGGAAGCATTGTCTGTCTACAACATTTTTTTAACGATTTGGTTTCACAACACTCCAATCTCGACTTAGTGCTCTTCGCAGCGTAACAAAAAGTCCTTCTTAAGTAGCTCAGAAAAGATTTAGGAGAGAGGTAGAGCAGTAAAGAAGAAAAGACCGATGAGGTTTGAAGGAGTGTTTTAGGTACACATCTCCAGTGCTTTATTCTCATATCATTTGCAAATTGGTTGAATATCACTGCATTCGATAGCTTGTTGGACTGCGCACAGTGCTTCTAACGTGTTCATCTCACAGTTCTCTCACTTCGATTGCTTTTTCCAGTGTTTCGGAAACATATTGTTGCTTTTTTTTAATTCGTTTACCGACATACTACTTATATCTGATTATTAGTAGCACTCAACACACTACTACTTTGATATGAGAATACCTTAACGATTACATTAGTGGTGAGAAAACAAGTGACTTTTGTTTTCTTCAGTTTTAACCCAATAACCAATGAGATTAATCACTTGATAATTGGGTTTTTTCTGTTAGCAAAATATAATTGTAGGCGTTTTTATTTCACACCATATTATCCTTAGTATTTCACCTTGTGATTTCCTAATATTAATTACTATGCGTTCATCATCAGATGTGATAAGTACACTACAGTCGCACAGTAGGATTAGTTTCACATGAACTCACGCACACACACACACACACAACAGCATATGATTTCCAGGAAATTAGAAACTACAAATCCGACTGAATTACTTTCAAGCATAAATCAGAAGTACGCATTTATTTATCCTTCACTTAATTAGAAGTGATGTATACACTTTGTTACTTATAATCAGATATAAGTAGTATATCACTGGACGAATTCAAAAAAAGCGACAATATGTTTCCGAAACACTGGAAAAAGCAATCGAAGTGAAAGAACAGCACTGTTCAGAATTCAGTAAGCTATTGAATATGGTGATATTCGACCAATTAGCAGATGATATGAGAATAAATCACTGTGGAGATATGCTATATCAGATTTATATACCTACAATGAGTTTCAGCAATATAAACATGACCTTCGAACCTCATCGGTCTTTTCTTCCTTGCAACGAGATTATTCCCTGGTTATTAGAATACAAATAATATAGCCAGTAAAAGCAAATCAAAATTATATGATCAGAAACTGCATTAGAGTATACATTTACAAGATGGAATAATACTCCGTTGGTTCTTCATTGTCACTTAGATGCCTATGAAGATAAAATATGAATGAAATATTAAGTAACATGCTGATATATACTTCTGTATATATATTTTAAGCAGGGAAAATATTAGATTCAAGGTGTAGGGGTTTGAGTTATATTCAGTGGTATGAGAGGAATCTGAGTACTACAAAAAACAAATAAATAAATGGATTACTACTTTGATTCGACACTAGTTAGTAGCTAGCGTGATGTGTCTAGTCCTTTATTTGTTTGGTGCAGACTGAATTCTGTCAGTCGAGTCAGGTTTGCAATTAGGCCACGAGGCCACTAGGCAGTGGCTTGCCATCACGGTGCACTCTGAATTGTTGATATTAGATGGTTGGAGGTATTTGGCCACAGAAAGCCCCTTGCCATCTAGCACAAAAGCTAGTTCAAGCAGGGCTTCTTCTGGCCGACTGCTTCTGACTATCTAATATCAAATGGGATATTATGAATGTAAGTTCGAAGGATGACATATAATAAATATAATGATAAAAGAAAGAGGTCATATAGTGAAATGTAATCAAATAATAGCGACAAAATAAGCTTAGTGTAAATCATAAAGGTTGACAAATAATGATGCTTATAATAATACTAATAATAATAATAATAATGGTGAGAAGTTAACTAGACGAAAAGGAATAAAAAAAACATGAAAATATTAGATGACTACATGTCGGATGACCTTATAGTAGGGCAGGATAAGCAACTTTATTCTTGTTAATCCCTATAGTTTCAGCTATAGCTAGAAGACTCACACAAAGAACTTGGAGGATCTGGACTTCGCTGATGTGATATGTCTGATTTCCCACAAACTGGAAGATATGCAAGTGAAAAGCAACAAGCTGGCAGCAGAAGCATCAAAGATAGGACTACACGTGAACATAGAGAAAACAGAGGTGATGAAGATTCCTGGCCAACACCAACAGCAACACTAACAACAACAGACAACAATCAGCCAGCATAAATGGGAGGAACCTGAAAGAAACAACCTCCTTCACCAACCTACCTACCTGGGAAGCATCGTTTCCACCACAGGCCAGGGGAACTGACGAGGATATCAAAGCCAGAATCGGAAAAGCAAGACAAGCTTTCATTACTCTTAAATCAGTGTGGAAGTCAACAGCACTCAGCATGAAAACGATAAATAAGATCCGGATTTTCGACTCCAATGTGAAGTCAGTGCTACTCGCTGTACAGATCAGAGACTTGGCCAGCGTGTCATAAAGAGCATCTCAAACAAACTTCAGACCATCATCAATCAACAGTTGTCTTCGCTCAATACCACTCAAGATCAGATGGCCGGCCAGAAAAGATCAGCAACAGGGATCGCTGGCAATGAGCGAACCAACCCAGCAGGAACCGGTTGTGAAACAAATAGGCAGGAAGAAATGGAGATGGATTGGCTGGCCGTACTCTGAGGAAACCATCAAGTAACATCACTAGACAAGCCATCACCCGAGTGGAACCCGAAAGGGAAGCAGCGAGTTGGTCGTCAGTGCGAGGGTGGGGTGACTGGGAGGATGTCATGTGAGGAGGAGATGAAAGCATGTGGGCAGACTTGGAGCGGGTTGAAAAAGTTGTGAGAAAACAGAAGGCAATGGAGGTGCGCAGCTGAAGCCCTATGTTCCTCTAGGAATAAAAGGATAAAAAATAGCTAAAAGATATAGTCGTGTGTCATAAGGCAATTTTATGGCACTCGATACATAAAACCACAAATGATCGACTCATCTATTTTGATGAGGTGTTCACTATCCATCAGATTAGGGTGAAATAGCACTGTGTTCACGAGTGCGTAAAGACAAATTCTTCTGAATACGTATACACACATTGATGATATGGGCATCACTAAAGCTCAGGTTGTAAACAGTTGCGTCCTTCAGCTTAGTTATTGAGTTTATCTATGAATAACTGCTGGTATGATTCTACACGTTAATTAAAAGGCATCTGTCTATACAACTACTTGAAGTGACAGTAGCTCTGTGGTTTTATTTTCATTAGATGGTTGGAGGTAATCGGCCACAGGAAGCCTTGGATCTAGATTTCGTGCCAGTTGGCATTCACCAGTCAGCAAGGTGTATCCGCAATCTTGAAAGAACTAATGTGTGTCTTCTGAGATTCGAACCAGGACCACTCACTGAGGCAGACAGAGACGTTACCAGTGGGTTATCCAGACCCTCAGTTGATCTCTTGTAGGAGTATTGTAATGGATACTTTGATTGGACACTTGGTACTAAGTAATGTGATGCCTCTATTTCTTGGGTTGATGAGGAGTGAATTCTATCAGCCTTGCTGAACGGGTGCCAACGAGCACAAAACGTAAATCCAAGACTTCCTACAGATTACCTGCAATCACCTAACAACAATTCAGAATGTTGTACTGTGATGACGAACCATAGAGCGAACCGGACTAATAGGATTCATTCTTCGTCATACGAAGGACTCATGCGTGCAATTAATTCAATTTGAATTCCTGGCATATATAGATTACTTACTAACTGTGTGATTTTTTCATAAAGTCATCACAAATGATCACGTAACGTTGAAAATAAAGTTTATATGACATCTTGAATAGTAATAGTGAGTCGATTTGTTAATACATCTTCAAATCAATCCAAGGCGACCTGTTTAAAACCTGGCCTACTAAAATATTTCATAATTTTATATATAGTGTATATAATTTCTCTTGTTAACACCTTGTTTATTAATCTATTAAAATATGACTTCTAATGACGTTTTGTACTCTCGTGAGTTATCGAAAAATGTCTACAACCCTGCTGATTTTCAAGTCCTTTACTAAAGTAGAGAAATACAAAGACAAAATGCCAGGTGACAATGTATTCCAGTACATGAGATTGCCTATCACCGAGATTTTTAGTATAAGCATCCACCACCTGAGGAATACAATTAAAATTACCTACAGTCTACCTACAATTATTCAACTATTATCATATCTTTGGCTTTTATTCAAATGTTGGGCACTTCTCGATAAAAAGGTGAAGAATAAATATCATAAGATTTAAGTGTTGGTTTGTAGGGATTTGGTTGATTGGTTACAGGATTTCATCATGAGTTGACATTAGTTAGAGAACCATTGCAAAACCTGGGAGTACTGGACAGCTGTTTCGTCAGAATAGTTTGGGACTCTTCATCAGTACGCACCCACCGGGATTCGGATCCAGGACCTTCTGGTTACAAGGCGAACCCATAGACCATTGAGCCACTGGGACCCGATCCAATGGTCCTTGAATTCTAACTTCTGCCAATTCACGACATAGCGTGACCGCTAGCCAATGTCATCCGTGGCTAGTATTTGTCCTCACACCCGACCCACTGCACCCTACTGGTCACGACTTCCCACTGGAACCCAGGTAACTACCTACCTGAATAGGGCGAGTCGCTACCATAGGAGATAGCGGTGTGTCACACGATTCACTGTCAGTTACTTGAAAATCTTGATCAGAGAGAAACTATTATGCAATGATTCTCGCTGAAACAGTCTGTAATAATAATAATTATTATTATTATTTGCTTTATTACAAAAACAGTACTAATGACACAGCAAGGAATTTTCAGCATTCAATACAATATCGCATCTAATTTACTCAAAAACGACAAAAAAATTAATAAAAATAAACATTACGTAATAATAATAAAAATAAAACGTTTTTATAGCATTTTGGACTTGTCATCCGGACGTATCTGCATTCCCCAGTGAGTGATGGTGTTCCCACTGAGAACAGGATAGACAGTATTCATAGTTTCAGGTACATCCAGCTGACGAGTGTCGAATGGGGCGAAATTTCATTCTGGATTCCACCAGTGCTAGTAACCCACTATCCACCAGATTACTTCACAGGTTAAATCCTCAGACATCGTCGGTAGCAGGAGCCGATATGTCAACAGAGGTCGAACACTTCTGTCCAATCAAATCATCAAAAGATCAAATTGAATATAGATAATTATGCATGAATACTGTTCAGGATAAAACTATTATTATGATTATTAAAACATACTTTAATGATCTCTAATTGTTTTTCCCTCTTGATTTTATTATTTTAGCATTTAAACCAATGTGAACCGGAAAACAATCCTTCAGTCATTTCTGTATCGAATACAGTAGAAAACAAAAAATCATCAATTTTTTCTACTATTCTAAAAATGATCCATCACATTTTTCCATTTGGTAAACATCATTTCCTTATTGTTCTAACTGGTGGCTTTCTATTTATCGTTTATATGGGCTTTTATATTTTTAGTAGATCTGTTATTTGTAATAATAATAATGATAATAATAGTGCTAGTCGTCCTCTCCCTTCTTCTTCTTCTACTTCCCCTGTTTCTTCGTCTTCTTCAATCCCCTTAACATCCTCCACATCAGCATCACATCATGATCATAATAATAATAATAACTTCAATGATTTCACTGCTGCCACTGCTAATGCCTATCATAAATGTCCATTAGACAGAGATAGATTATCAAATATATTTGATTATACAAATGGTATGCCTCCTTATTAACTCCCCCTTCCTTTATCTTCTTCAATTCCCTCTCTCTTTACCTCTCTGTGTGACTGTCTTTTTAGCAATTCCAATTTTGACAGGTAATCTGCGCCAATAGACAAATTTTTCTATTCTGCTTTTTTCGTTTCGTCCATTTCAGCCTACTTAAATCTGTAAACTAGTAGTATACATGCATATATATAAACATTTTCCAGGTATGCTCATAAACACACCCACACACACAATGATAATGAATATTACCCAGGGTTTTAGGTATTCATTTTGTTAAAATAGAATAATTTAGGTGATAAATAAATTCTTTCGCCTTGTTTATATGCTTACTATTTATTATGATATTTCGTCACTTTTACTCCTAAAAACTGTACCGTGTTTGTTTGTGGGTGTGGGTGTGTGTCTCTCAGTGTCTGTCTGTCAGGGTGTTTTAGGATATTTTGAGATTTCTATTGTCTGTCTAACAAGTAGATGACTTTTTCTACATCATAATTGTTGTAAATAATCAAGAATCTTTTTTTTCCCTTCCATTTCAAATACTGATTTAGAATATTTCTAATCTCGAATAAACTTTTAAGGGGTGTGTTTTTTTGTAGTATTTATCCATTTTATTTATTAGTATCTCTTATCTATCTGAATGGCTCTTCCTTACTACTTGAATAAGAAATAGTGCAATGAAGAATAATTGCGCTGATATACGATTATATATGCATACATATTGTTCCGCGTTGGAGGAAGGCATATCGTTTAAAGTGAGTAAAACGTAAAAGCGGATAAATGGGTCATATTTTAATCCGTTGAAATATGAACACAAAAGAAGGAGGATAAAAATTCAGCATAAGGTACTCATTTTTCCCATTTTACCAAACATTGAACCGCATATTTCCTGTGGTTTCATCCATTTTCCCATGTCTCTGTGCAAAGGGGAATTAATCATCCACGAAGAAATTCCCCGACTACGTCATTATTATTATTATTGTTATTATTTATATACATGATTGTCTTTTCTAAAGACGGTTTTTTCTATCATTTTGATATCATTTTTGATATTTCTCTTTCCTCTATCTATCTATCTATCCATCCATCCATTCAATCTTGCACTCACTTATTCATCATTCACCCGTTTATTATTATTTAACCGCAATACTGATCATCACATCACGGTTACGTAATCATTCCCTTTTTTTATGTCCATCTATCTATCTATGTATCTATCTGTCTATCACATAAACATGCATACATGAAAGTGTCTCACATTTGCTGAGTTTTTTTCATACTTCATACCTCCGTGTCTCTTTCATCTTTCTTTCATTTATTATTTCGAAAATTATTTTAGAGACAATCTGTTAATTCTTTTATTGGTTGTTTTCTTTTTTTTCTTAATTTAAGGTATGTGAAATATTCATTTGAGCAATAAATCCATAAGAAAGGATGGTCAGCAAAAGAATGTTGTTGTTGTTGCTTCTCCCCCCCTTGTAAAACAGCTGTTCAGTGGGCTCTTTGATGGTTGTCAATGCTTATCTGACTGACTGACTGACTGACTGACTGGCTGGCTGACTGACTGACTGACTGACTGACTGACTGACTGACTGACTGACTGACTGACTGACTGACTGACTGACTGACTGACTGACTGACTGACTGACTGACTGACTGACTGACTGACTGACTGACTGACTGACTGACTGACTGACTGACTGACTGACTGACTGACTGACTGACTGACTGAGGGAATTCCAACATAGAACTTTGCATAGAAGTGTACCAGTTTAGTTTGTTACATTCCATATAGTACACAAAAGTAGAGGAGTGAAATAAGGATAAAACTTGGGCACTGTGGTGGAGTATCACCCCATTATGGATAAAAAGTTCTATTTTGATAAAGTCACACAGTGTTGTTATACAGTAATATTTACTAATGACCACATTTTGAGCGCAATTTATTACTACTGCTCATAATCATATCAAGGCACAGCTCACACACACTTTTAGCTTCATGACTAAAAACTGATTAGACATTTGAATAAAAATCAATATGAGATAATGTACATTCAGAAATAATAATAGTATGAGTGTTAGTGATCAGTTACAATCAGATGGGAAATAAGACGAGTGTTTTTTATAGTCAAAATAAGTAACTCAGTAGAATGTTATGATGTACGTGAATTGAAATAGAATTTTAAGATTATTTATAATCCTCCTCTGATTTGACTGGTGGTAATAATATCTTCCATGTATATCTCTGGTATTTGCATTCAGTCGCTTCTATTGCATGTGTTAGGTGTAGCCTCTATGAACAAGGATACCTATTTTACTTATTAGAATTTTGACCCTATCCCAGCACTTTATTGTGTGTTAATGCATGCAGTGCGATTGTTGAGTTTTTTTTTCTAAATTACTTATCTTCGGGAGATGAATCATCCTAACCCTAGCTAATTTCTTATGTTCTCATAATCTCACTACTCCCGATCTACTAGTTTGATCTATGTAGTTGACCTTAGGAAAATATTACTGTATAACACTGTGTGACTTTATCAGAATATAAAATTTTACCCATAATGCAACTGGGCAAATGAAGGCGAAAGAACCAAGAATAAATAGAAATGTATACTAAAACCCGAGAAAGGATGACAATTTAGGGAATGTAGAGGAACACAAAAAGCCCGAATACATTTCGTGCTATTGTGAACGATTCTGAGTCATATCACAAATAGTCTCTTCCGCCATCGTTTCATAGAATTCCAGGACGTGGAACTAGGCAATCTAAACCTTCCTGAGTGGCTAGTTCAAACCAACTGTCAAAGACTATATGGATTAATTTCATTTTTTTTTATTTGACCACCTCTAATCCTTTACCAACCTAATTTTATATCGGGTGACATTGTTATTGGAAGAAGGTGAGGGCTCAACACATGTCCTAGCCATCGGAATAGAAGCAACCTCATTGATTGACTTACGCTAATTTACCATAGAACAATCTATACCTAATTTAAGTATTACTCGCCATATGAAACCACTCAACAATGGAGGCAAAATGCAAATATCAATTGGTGATAAAATGTATATCCAGTTTATAAATCAATCAAAATAATTCATTCCGTAGTCTGAAAACACTAATTGATGAGTATCTTTCAAGAAGCGTCAGTGGTGCAGCAGTAGAACACTCACCAACCAAACCTCGTATCATCCTGCGTTTGAATTCCAGCCGACTCACTCCTACACCTCTATTATAAGCACAAATAAGCTCAGTGAAGAGGGAGTGTGCTGAGAGTAAGGCTGGCAATCCCACCCAGTAAAAATCACACAAAATGCTGCAAAGACGCAAATGGAATCTCTTAAAAAAAACTTTCAGGAATCACTACCATAAAAAAAACAAAAATCGCCTTAAAACAGGAGTATTGATTGGTCAAGAAAACAAAACTAAGAAATTTAGAATATTTGTAGTGTATATTTTACATTCAGCTGATCAGTTCCAAATAGGGTAAAATCTGTGTCGTGGATTTCACCAATGATAGTCACTCTCCATTAAGTAAAGTAGTGGGAGATTTTCTTGGGCGCGTCAAACACCGGTTTAGTCAATATCGACTTTTGGTTGTATGTGTATATTTTCAAGTACTGGTTTTGGAGAGATTTTGTTTGATTGCATGGAGGATTTCATCATGAGCTGACATCACTTAGAGAACCACTGGAAGATGAGGCAGTAACTCATCGAAGAAGACATTGCGAAACGGTCGCACTATGTCGTGAATTGGCAGAAGTTAGAATTCAAGAACCAATGGATCGCGTCCCAGTGGCCCAATGGTCTACGAGCCCGCCTTGCGACCAGAAAGTCCTGGGTTCGAACCCTGGTGGTTGCGTTCTGCTGAGGACTCCCAAACTAGGATGAAACAGCTGCCCAGTATGTGTATATCTTTCTTTTTTCCGGTGGAGAAAAAGCAACAAAACAATTATTTGAATAAAGTAGTCTACAGAGACAGTGCCCGTGCTCGAGAAAAAACGATACTTTTTCACAGAGTGGAGGAGACAGATATTAGTAGTGAAATAAACAAGGGTCTCAGGTGCTCTAGCAGCGTTCAGTATAAAGTTAGATAAACTGTTGTTGAATTTGTCTGATGTTATCTTGCATTGTCGAATCTACCAGGACACATGTGCGATATATATAATTCGTCTTGTCTTCATTCCTTGCGTAATGAGTGGAAAATTCGGCTTCAAGCTTTTATGACATTTCTGTGAGGGGTGGTGTTGTTTCTTTCCTATATGCTCTGCTATTCTCAAACTTACCGTGAGCTAGTAAAATAGGTGAGGTTCTGGAGTGAGTCAACATGGAATCGAACATGGATCACATGTGTATCTGGTGAATATTCTGTCATTGAGTCGTCGACAATATTCAGTTGTTTATTATTATTATTATATTATTATATCCTTTAATTCCTAGAGGAACATAGGGCTTCAGCTGCACACATCCATTGCCTTCTGTTTTCTGACAACGTCTTCACCCCGCTCCAACTCTGCCCACATGCTTTCATCTCCTCCTCACATGACATCCTCCCAGTCACCCCACCCTCGCACTGACGACCAACTCGCTGCTTCCCTTTCGGGTCCCACTCAAGCAATGGCCTGTCTAGTGATGTCACTTGATGGTTTCCTCAGAGTATGGCCAGCCAATCCATCTCCATTTCTTCCTGCCTATTTGTTTCACAATCGGTTCCTGCTGGGTTGGTTCGCTCATTGCCGGAGATCCCTATTCCTGATCTTTTCTGGCCGGCCATCTGATCTTGAGTGGTACTGAGCGAAGACAACTGTTAATGAAAGTCTGAAGTTTGTTTGAGATGCTCTTTATGACACGCTGGCTAAGTCTCTGATCCGTATGGTAAGTAGCACTGACTTCACATTGGAGTTGAAAATCCGGATCTTATTTTCGTTTTCATGCTGAGTGCTGTTGACTTCCACACAGACTTGAGAGTAATGAAAGCCTGCCTTGCTTTTCCGATTCTGGCTTTGATATC